CAGGGGGGTTGGACTGGATGATCTTTTAAGGTCCCTTACAGCCCCCATGATTCTATGGGCTTAGCCATCCAGACAGTTTTTAACCCAGTGAGGAGTCCACCTGTCTAGGCCGTGAGCTGTCAGCATCTCCAGCAGAATGCTGTGTGAGGTCCATGTCCAGTGCCTTACTGAAGTCCAGGTAGATGACATCCACCGCTTTTATCTCATCCACTAGACAGGTCACCTGACCATCGAAGGAGATCAAGTTGGTTAAACAGGACTTGCCTTTCATGAACTCGTTGGCTGGATCTGATCTCCCTGTTGTCCTGCACTTGCTGCATGATATCCCCCAAGATGAACCGTTCTGTCATCTTCCCTGGCACCTAGGTCAGGCTGACAGGCCTGGGGTTCCCCAGTTCCTCCTTCCAGCCCTTCGTGTAGATGGGTGTCCCATTGGCAGGTTTCCAGTCACCCGGGACCTCCCCCGTTAACCAGGGGTGCTGGTAAATGATGGAGAGAGGCTTGGCAAGTTCCTCCCACCAGCTCCCTCAGCACTCTTGGGTGGAACTTATCCAGCCCCACAGACTTGTTGCTGTCCAACTGGCTTAACAGGTCCTTCACTGCTGTTTCCTGGATTATGAGGGGATCATTCTGATCTCCATCCCTTTCTTCCAGCTCAGGGGTCTGAAATGCCGTGAGGATATCTGGACCAACATTATTGCATTGGCTTGGTATTTGTCTTAAGGAAACAAATTTTGCAATTTTGTAGATGTAGAAAAAAAACAGGGAAAAAGCTCATTTTTAAATCTGTAATTTTGTGGCTGGCTTTAACCTTTTAGACCGTGTTTTTTTCAGAAAGGTGCAGCTGGGAGCGCATGCAGACACGGTGTGTGCCTGTTTCCCCCACATTCCCCACACCCTTCCTGGCTGTGGGCCTCTGCTGTTTTCTTTCTGGTGATGTATGAATAGTTGTGTAGCCACATAATGAGGTGGATCAGCTTGCTGCTCTCTGACCCCTCACCTAGAGAGGTTAGGTTGTCAGATGAACTCAGAAGTACTGTTGGTAGAAATTTATATTTACAGGCAAGGGAAAAGACGCAGCTAACCCCATGGGCTGCTGGTCACAGAGTGGCTTAGGCTGCTTGTTTGTTGCTCCCTTATGAAGGGGCAGTAGAAGAGTCTTGGCAAACTACAGCAATCTAATGTGCAGGTAATTTAGAGAATATAGTAGTCAGTAGAGTGACTGCTGTGGTTTAAGACTGTGGAAACTCACAAGAAATGTCACTACTGCTAGTAAAAACTGCAAGGAAAAAAATATGCATGTAGGGATAAAAATCAGGAAAGTTGATGTGCCAAGTAAGCTATTACTAGCAAATGATACAGGAAGTACTTGAAAAATTCTGGAAATACATATGAAGTAAGAGGAAGACTTGAAAAAAAAAAAAAATCCTACATTATGTAATTGAAAGTAAATAACAGCAGAAAGATGTTTGAAATGATCAGTGGTGCTTTTTGCCTCAGTTTTTGTTTTAAATGTTAATTGTGCACAGATGCTTCATGTAATGTTAAGAGCAGGATGCTGGAATAGAAGTTAGGAAGAACAGGATAAGGACTTTTTATATGTATTCAGGTCAACATTGTTTGACAGTGTTGACTAATTTGGTAAATATTGGACATAGACTATGGATAGTTCCTCTTAAAGGAGAAGAAACTACTGATGTCTTGAATTCCTTTCCAGTTCTTTTTCTTTCACTGAACAGCTCTCAGATAGTTGTGTGTGATATTTGTGTTCAAATACGTCTTGTGTATGTAAACATTGTCAGACACAAAGGGGCTGAAAAGGACCCTATAAATGGTGTGGGGAGGAGCTAAAATGTGAACTAGTATTTTTTGCACTCTTTGGATGAATGGGGATAGAACACTGGAAAACTTGAAGGTTTTCTGTCATGTGGACGATGCCTTCTGTTAACTGTGTTGCACTGTTTTAATTTTTCTTCCTCTTTCCTCCTGTATACTTTGTCATCACCAAATCCACTGATCATTTGCTGACTTGATAAGACTGAAGCACTTGCAGGGTTTGTTCCTGTGCAGTTACTCTACAGGTGCTTGAATCCATTGTGTCTAAAAAATGTCTTCTGGCTAAGTATCTAGTGCACTGTCTTACTCTGTAGTTGGCAGCATTAGATGATGAAACTTAGTTTTGAACAGAAAAGCAGAAGTGTGTAGTACTGTTGTTTACTGTGTTAGATTAGCTTCTGTACAATTAATTCTGTTCTGTTTCCGTTGTGGTAGGACTTCCTCAACTGAAAAAAAAACACACTTGAAACTGATAGCTTATTGTGTTGGGTAAGGACTGAAATGGACACTTAAGGTTTTTTGCTGAAAATGTAGCTGTTGTAATCTGCTACTGGGAGCAATATTTTTATGTTCTCTCTCCTAGGAATGCAATAAACCCCGTGAGGCCTTTGGATTTGAACAAGCTGTCAGGGAATATACTCTCCAGAGCTTTGGTGAAATGGCTGATAACTTCAAGTCTGATTATTTCAACATGCCAGTCCATGTGAGTTTCAACTTTTGTTGCGATTCCTTGTAGGGGAAGAAGAGGTTTCAGCTGATCCTGGGTTTTTGCTGTGGCATTTTAGCTTTGTTTGAAGAGGCACCGTACGCTTTAAACATGTAAACAAAGGATTTCGCTTTCTGGCATCTGGTCTTATTTCCACTTCATTTCCTCTGATGGATAGATAGCTCTATTGCTTGTTAGGGTATACCTTACTGGCTGTACTCTAGTTAAGTTCTTGCCCTTTATAATTAATTGAACCAAATATCTTGTTTGGCAAAGGGGTCTTTCTCTTTCACTTCCTATGGCTTTTGTCTTGGTTTAGTTTGTTCAGAGGATACATCATTGTTTTCCTCCTTCTTAGAGTCTTTTCTTTTAGACAAGCTAATAGACTATGTCTGTCTGATAATCATGGTTTGTTTGTGGGGTTTGGTTTTGGGTTTTCTGCGTCTCAGCAGAATTTTTAAAACTAGCATTTCTGCTTGGGCACGCTTCCGTGACTACTGTCCTGTAGACTGCATGCAGCACCAAGCTCCTTCTCATCTTGGGGTTCTTTAGTAGTTTATGGGCATTTTTGCTAAAGCATCTACCTTTTAAGGACTCCCAATTTATGATACAACTTTGGGACACTGAGCTTCTTTTACAAATAGGCTTCATAAATAAATGCATGTAAGAGTTGTAACGAGATATATGAAGATGACAGTTTTGAACACAGTTCTTTGTCTGGATTTCCTTACTGTTACTCCGAAGTTGTGGTCATTATCTGCTGAAATAGTTTGGAATTTGCATGCTGTTCATTCAGTTTGCTGTTTGTTTGGCTTCTGCTGGCTGTCTCCTTCTCCCCTTCTTTTTAGCTGTACTTCTGGTAACCCCATCTTCTTGGTCCATTCCATCCCTTATGATGTGGCATCCTATTTGTGTTACACTGCAGCCACTGCAAAGGAATACAGACCAAACTGTATGGCTTCAAAGAGATGAAGGGAGAGGAAGAGTAGTCAGGGTGTTTGAAGATTCATGGGGTATTAGTAATGATTTATTGTTTGAATGAAAACTTTTCTTTCACCTGCATATACCCCAACATCTTTTCTGCTTTCAGATGGTTCCCACTGAGCTCGTAGAAAAAGAATTCTGGCGATTGGTGAGCAGCATAGAAGAAGATGTCATTGTGGAGTATGGGGCTGATATCTCATCCAAGGACTTTGGAAGTGGCTTCCCAGTGAAGGATGGCCGACGGAAGCTGATGCCAGAGGAGGAGGTGAGAAACAGGATATGCAGACTGACCCTATTCTTTCCTCTGCCTGTGTTTCACATTAAGAATTTAGTTCAGAAATCGGTGTGGATTTTTTTTAATGAAGAAATCACTTGAGGCTTTTGTGTGCACCTACCATTCCCTTTGTGGGCATTAATCTGATATTTTAGGTTCTTTTCCAGATCTGGTTGCTGATAGCTAAGCTGCTTTGCATTGTTTAAGTTACACCTGGTTTGTATCATTTAATCATAGCGGGCAAAAATGTGCTAGTTGCTACAGTATGTCCGAGTATGAGGAGACAAGATTTTATTTTGTTGTTCCAAACCTTTCCATTACAGAGCTAGCTACAGAAACATGCTTCTAACCTCCTAGGGAGGTTTATAATAGGTAAAACAAAATTAGTGGATTCAGCTTGTTTCTCTGACTGTAAGAATAAAAATATGTAGACACATCATCCTATTATAAGAAATGTTATAAAGAACATCTGGTGAGTATATTACCGATTTTTTTTTTTTTTTCTTCAGACCTTACTGTAGCATATCAATTTTCTGGCTGTTTGTGTTTAAATTCAGATAAAATGAGAGCAAAAGGTGTGGTTTCATGATTACACAGGACCAAATCAATTCATATTGTTTGCTGGAACAGGTAGTCCTGCTCACTCTTGTCTTCTACTCATACCTGTACCTTCCTGCCTGTACCTGTGTTGACTATGCAGTGATCATGTAGTTGATTAGTGAGTCAGAACTCCTTCTTGATAGGTTTGTATGAAAGTAGTAATTAAAAAAAAAAAAAACAAACCCTTTTCTAATGAGATGATTTAAGTCACCTCATTCACTGCATTGTCTTTATAGTGTCAGAGCAAAGGAAATGGCAGCAACATGTGGCTGAGCTGAGGGTGTCACCAGTCCTCTCAGCAACTATGCAATATGCCTAAAATGCTAACTTTTTTTTTAAGGTGGAATGTATACTAGTGTTAAAGCACAGTAGTGAGCTTTTAAGGCAGTCTGCTTGGATTCTCATTTTGTGTACAAATTTTGTCAACTTGAAAATGAAGATGGCATTGCTTAACTGGTGATGCTGTCTTCTTCGAAATGTGTAGGAGTTTATGTAGGAAAGCAGGTCTTAAAGCTGAAATAACTTAAGGCTCACTGCGTTGTTTACAATCTTAAGTTACCCTATTTTACTGAAGACTTAGCTTTTTTAGACTGTTTTCTAGTGTTGCTGGTACATTGTTCCACCAGAAAAGCATGAAACCTTTAAACTTTGGGGGGGAGGGGGGAAATCAAAGCCTAAGTATATAAGCCTTGATCCAAGGATGTTGAAGTACTAGGACTGGCCTTAAATCTTGGACTGGTTAATTGCTGGTTAAGGTATTTACGAAATTATTTCCTATTTTTGATGCTTCATTGTTGCAGAAGACTACCCACTGTCTACTATAGAAATGGGTAGGCTGATCTCTTCCTTTGTACTTCCTTTCTCTTGAGTTGGTGTCCTTCTGTTCTTCTGATTTGTTCAGAATTTTTTCCTTCTCTTGGCAGGATTATGCGCTTTCTGGTTGGAACTTGAATAACATGCCAATTCTAGAACAGTCAGTCCTTGCACACATCAATGCAGATATCTCTGGCATGAAGGTACCTTGGCTGTACGTGGGCATGTGCTTCTCCTCGTTCTGCTGGCATATTGAAGATCACTGGAGCTATTCCATCAACTACCTGCATTGGTATGGGCTCTCCTTTGTGCATCTACCTCACACTGCCTTGTTTGCCATTGGTAAATTTGTAGTTCTACTTGAAAATGCCTATGCATGCTGATGACATTTTTAACCAAAAAGCCTGATGTGATGATGAGCGGTCCATATTCTTAGCTGAGACTGACTAAAGGTGAATGCATATACTGTTTTAAGGCCTTCAGTGTTTATAATTAACTGATTAAATACTATTGTGTTGCCAGAATTCCAGTGTCGCTGTAAAATCATGCTTTACAGGTTCACATCTTTTCTAAGAAAGCCTTTGGTTTTGAACTCAATTATAGTTCGCTGCGTTTTAAGCTGGGAAGTTAGCATGGCCCTATGCTGGATGTGGAGGCTGCTGCCTAGTGGTTCACACAGGCATCAGAGCTGACAGTTCAGCAACAGATCTCTGTATACATAGGAATACTCCTAGTCAAGAGAAGAGGAATCTGAAAGCAGTTCTGATAGTCAGAACAGCCCTTGAAGTGTTCTGATGTTCAGCTGTTGTGTTGGAAAAGGAGAGTCGTGACAGGTCAGCTGTTTGCATTGCAGTCTTCCCAGTTTATCAGGCTCAGTCACAGTGGATGGGGAAGAGGAGAAGGAGGGGGAAGCTGTGCAAAGCACCCCTTTAAAATAGAAAGTTTGTGCATCTGGTAAGGGTGAGTTGATAGGCTTTAGACTGTGACTGTATATTTCTAGAGAAGAGTGCTTGCTATGAAAGTTCTGATCTACAGGCTCAGGAGAGGAATCGGTTTTGGTTTGAGTTCAGTTACTGTCCTCAGGGTGCTATTAACGGTATGTGAGGGTTTTGAGCTGGTGAATTCCAACAGCTCAGATGCAGAGTAGTGGTTATTTACTGAGCTTTACTGGCTGTGTGCTACCAGCAGGTGTCACTCAAGGCTGTAGGAACCACAGAAACTGCTCCACTGTGCCTCACCTAACTTTTGGGATTATTGGTGACAAGATTATTAATACACCTGAACACTGCTATGTAAACAGTTTTAGATCTTTCAGCAGACTACTGCTTGTACTTCTTAATAAAATAAAATTCAAAATTAAACCTTAGCACTGTAGATGATAGATCATTACAGTTTATTCTGAAGAAGGCAGAACTGGAAGAACTGGAATAATGTTCTCAAGTAATTTTCTGTTTAGTTTTGATTTTGTTAATGTTTTTCTTCCCTCATACTTAAATAATTCATGTTATTAGGCATTTTTAATCTTAGAGTCCAGTGCACCACTGGTTATGGATTTTAGAATGATTGCTTCTATTTCATTGCACTGTCTGATGCTTTATTCTGCTTCCGCTTAGTGTTACGCTATGCCATTGGTTTCAGGAATAGGACTACTCCAAGCCTGGTGGAGTGGAGGAGTACAGTGATGTCTTTTCTCTAAAACATTAGCTGTGACAGCCAAGGGTTTGTTTGTTAAATTTACTTTCTTCCTGAAGGCGGATAAATGTCCCTTTTATCCCTTTAGAGCACGGTAAATGACAATTATTTTCCATGTCAGGGTGGTTGTGAAGAATTAGCTGTCAGGTATTGTGAGAACTGTGCTGTACTGTAATTTATTTTTTCAGATTAACATGGTACATCCTGAAGAAGATGGTTGTTGATGAAAGACATTTTTGTGTCTGTATTTAAAATGCTTGGTTTGTGTGAACAGTGGTGCTAGATTTGAGGGGGATACTTTACATTTGGGTGGCACTGTCACTTTCCTTTAATGTTTGTTACTGCGGTTGTGTTTTGTTAGGGGAGAGCCGAAGACCTGGTACGGCGTTCCCTCTCATGCAGCAGAGCAGCTAGAAGATGTGATGAAGGAATTGGCTCCTGAGCTATTTGAATCCCAGCCTGATCTCTTGCATCAGCTGGTCACTATTATGAACCCCAATGTGCTGATGGAACATGGTGTACCAGTGAGTAGCACCTGAGCATCTTTCAAATAAGTATTCCCAGGCACTTTTTTTTTTTTTATTTTGTGCCAGGTTTGTGTAGCAATGGTGGCATAACGGAAGAATTTTTGTTGGATGCTTATATATTCAATTAATTAGTTATGGGGTGGTTTTAAAAGTTATTTTCTAGAATCTTCCTTAGACTCACCATGAAATTTAAATTATCTTCTATCAGAAGTGAGCGTGCCAATCTCTTTACATAAAGTATCTTCTAGAACAAGTGCACTTTGGGTGCTACATTTAAGTTTTAATTTATAAAAATAAAAAACAAAAACAAAAACAAAAACAAAAAAAAAAAAAAAAACCAAACCAAAAACGCCCTGCTGTAGCAGCAGGTTCGTCTGTGGAATGCTTTTGATAGCTTTTGGTAGTAAAACACTTGTTTTAATGTTCAGTAGAAGTCTCAGCATCACAAAATTCTGTTTTGACCAAACATAATTGCCTGCAGACCTTTAAGTAGCAGTGACTATCATTTGCCTTTGTCTAAGAATAAATTGCTTCTCTGGCAAATATCCCAACAAAGTAAATGATAAACTGTTTCCAGAAAGCTCTTGCACTTTGTGTCATGGATTAAATAATGATAGATAAACATCCCGTTTGGGATTCATAAAGAGTTTTCAACTCTTGGTTTAGGTATTCAGCTTTTTTGAGTATGGCTCAATAAATTGAGGATTCACTTTAAGAAGACAGAACCAATTCTTACCACTTCTGGGGTAGCTACATTGCCTGTGGTGTTCAATAGGAAAAGAAAGTGGTGTTCAAAAGTCTTGTAATTGTGTCTTAAACTCTGTTGCAAGTTTCATGGTTTTTCTAATTTTTTCCTTTGTCCTCACTTGTATTAGGTGTACAGGACCAATCAGTGTGCTGGGGAGTTTGTTGTGACCTTTCCTCGTGCCTATCACTCTGGATTTAACCAGGGATATAACTTTGCTGAAGCTGTGAACTTCTGCACTGCTGATTGGGTGGGTTCTTTTGTATATATTTACTATGTCTCTGCTAGGAGACCTTTGACAATGTTAGTAACAATTATTTGAAGAATAGACTTTTAAGTTACATAGTATGTTTTATGCTTATAGATCCTGGTACAAGACTTAAAGACTGTGTATTTCAATTACACAAAAATTATTTTGAAGAAGACATAATTTTAAGCAGCTTCAAACTGAAATTTAGGCATGTGGTCTTCATTTTTAAGTGTTGATCTAACCAAAAAGTGACATCTCACAGTACCTTTATCTAGTATTTCTGTGATGCCTCTTTCTCAGTTTGGTACAATTTTATGTACTCTTTAACAGCTGTTGTCATTTGAATGCTGGAAGCAGGCATATAAAAGTCTTTTGTTCTCTTTTTGTGCCAGCTTATTGCACCTTTTAATTGTATTGGTGCTTGTTCTAATAGCCATGCTACACCAGTGCACAGCTTATGAGGATTCTTCAGGAAGTTGTCAGTGTGTCCTATTACTGTCCAGGGATTACAGTTGGAAGTTGCAATCTTATCTGTAGTTTATTAATCTCTAACTCTTTTGGTGTCTTCAACTAGAATTTTTAGTCCTTAATTAGAGAATTTTATTAATCAGAAAAATTGTGGTTTTTTTCTTTCTCCTGTGCTCTTGATGTAATCTGTGTATAGCCTCTATTAAAAACTTCTAAACTCACACCAGCCATGTGAAATTTCTTTTGCTTATAGAAAATTTAGCCAGAAATCTGCATAGCGAATTCATCTAGCATTTTATATTTTTTGCTTTAAAAGGCACAAAAATAGATTATGTTGACTTTTGGTTAACTATAGGCACCTTGTGTTAGATGTCTATGCCTAAGCATAGTAATATTCAGGGGGCAGTGCATTCACCTTAGCATATACCAGCTGACTTTGTCTTGGTGCCAGTTTCTTTCCACTGTAAGTAAAAAGACCTTAGGACAACTCAAGTTGTGTCTGAACAGTAGCTACATAAGATGATGGCAGATGGCCTCCCAACATGGATATCCTCTTTGTCCTCATCTGTGACAAAATTTGTTGTGACTCTGTTCCATAAGATACAACTCCTAGTCTCAGTCTTGTCCCAGGTTTTGTCAAAGGAAGGAAAGTGGGAGCTAAGAGAGAATCTTGAAGCATCTTTTCTCAGAGTGATAGATGTCTGTTTCTTTGGTAGCTTCCCATTGGACGTCAGTGTGTGAGCCATTACCGAAGGCTAGGGCGTCACTGTGTTTTCTCCCATGAAGAGCTGATCTTCAAGATGGCTGCAGATCCAGAGTGCTTGGATGTTGGGCTGGCTGCCATGGTCTGCAAGGAGATGACTCTAATGATAGAGGAAGAGACACGGTTAAGGGAGTCTGTTGTACAGATGGTGAGTAATAAAAGACAACTCATGCTTTGCTTGCAAAAGAACTTTTGCTTCCCCTTACCCTTGACTGGATTAGAGGGGTTTTAGCAAGTGTGCTAATTGTTTTTGTTAGGGTGTGTTGATGTCTGAAGAAGAGGTGTTTGAACTGGTTCCAGATGATGAGCGTCAGTGCACAGCCTGCAGAACAACGTGCTTCTTGTCAGCTCTTACGTGTTCCTGTAACCCCGAGCGGCTGGTGTGCCTATACCATCCATCTGACTTATGTCCGTGTCCCATGCAGAAGAAGTGTCTAAGGTACACAGGATTTTTTTTTTTTTTTCCCCTCCACTTTTCTTTATCCAATAGCTTGCTGGAAACCGGAGACCAAATACAACATTTGGCCACTCTTCACTCTTCCTTTATTTAAAGGAGCATTTTTATTCTCTCTGCTCTTTATCCAAGGCAACAGGTATTATGTGTTCTGTCTTTTTGGCTTTGTTGCAGCTGGAAAAACTCAATATAAGCAACATCCTGGCTTTTGTATGGACATGAATACTCTTTCTGTATCTCCAGGTACCGGTACCCACTAGAAGACCTTCCTTCTTTGCTGTATGGAGTGAAAGTTAGAGCACAGTCGTATGACACTTGGGTCAGTAGAGTTACAGAAGCTCTGTCTGCCAATCTCAACCACAAGAAAGGTCAGACTTCTGTTGTTCACAGTAGGATGTCCTGAAACTCTTACGTTTGTTCTGTGTTGTCATTTGATGAGAAAAATGTTGTGTGTTGCTTTGTGGAAAGAAGAGATGACCTAGTCTGAGGGTGTAATGTAACTCATTGTGCATTTCTAATTGAGCTAGCCTGTCAGAACCTTGATTGAAGGTCTTTGAGGCAGTCTATTTGGTTTGCATACAAATTATTTACGTACTGTTATTACAGATGTGATCGAGCTGCGAGTAATGTTGGAGGATGCTGAAGACAGGAAGTATCCAGAGAATGATCTTTTCCGCAGGCTCAGAGATGCTGTGAAAGAAGCAGAGACCTGTGCTTCAGTAGCACAGCTGCTACTAAGCAAAAAGCAAAAACACAGGTAAGAAAAATATGTTTTCAACTTTTTCCATCTGTCTGTCTTGTTACTTGACTGCACCTGGAAGTGTAAGAACCCTGAGGTCTCACTGTCTACTAACTTCTTTCAGTGTTTCCTGTCCCTAGTGCTTACTGAGAATGAGGGGAGGCAGAGATGGCGATACAAAGGGTGAAAAAGTGGACTTGGTTGGAATGTGTTAAACATACTGTTTTCACCTTAGTTGGGCACTAAGATGTGAAATCCTCTGGAGGAGTTCTTTAATGGCCGATCAGTGATTTCTCTGAATGTGTAGGAGAGTTGTGGGGAAGGACACTACCTCAGCAATCTGCTCGATCTGTCCCCTTTTTCTGCTGCCATGAGCCTTCATCAATGTGTTCTTTCTTCTCCTATGCATTCTGTGCACTGAATAAAAGCACCATAGAAAAGAGTTTAATCAGGTTACTATTTCTTGTGCTTAGCAGTTGCATGTAAACTTTTATAGCATACTTTTTCTTCAAGCTTTGGCTTTATAGTTTGGTTTTTTAACATGTAGTTTTTGTGCATAACTTAAGACTTTTGAACGGAGAGATTAAGAAGTAAGTACCTTGTCAATTATAATATCCAGCTTTGCTGCACAGAACAATGCATGTCATAGTGGTAGATAATTGCATATCATAATTTGAGAGCTCATGTGGAGTACTGTGTCCAGCTGTGGAGTCCTCAGCACAAGGAGGACATGAACGTGTTGGAGCGTGTCCAGAGGAGGGCCACAAAAATAATCAGGGGGTTGAAGTATGTCTCCCGTGAAGAAAAGCTGAGAGTTGGGCTTGTTCAGCCTGGAGAAGAGCCTCTGGGAAGACTTTGTGGCCTTTCTGTACTTAAGGGGGGGCCTATAAGAAGGTGTTTTTAGCAGGGCCTGTTGCATCAGGACAAGAGGTAATGGCTTCAAACTGAAAGAGTGAGATTTAGACTAGGTAAAAGACAGTTTTTAGTATGAGGATAGTGAAATGTTGGGACATGGTGCACACAGAGGTGGTAGATGCCCCATCCCTGGAAACATTTAATGTCAGGTTGGATGGGGCTATGAGCAGCCTCATATAGTTAAAGATGTCCCTGCTCACTGGACTAAAGGGGCGTAAAGGTCCCTTCCAAGCCGAAACATTCTATGATTCTATAATTGCTTGAATTTGAACACAAATGCTAGTTACACCACAGATGCAGTACAATACCTGATGTAACTGGAAAGCTGTTATGAAATAGAGAAGCATTTTTGCTGTAGTCGAAGGGGAAAGAAGGCTCTCCTGTTTGTTTTTTATTGCTTGTAGGATGCCACTACCTCAGAGGTACGGTCATGTAGAACTCTGGTCCTGTTCCTCTTGGAGTGGAAGTATTTTTCGTAGCTCCCAGGTGTTCCTGGTCTGTTGCTTCTTCCTCCTCATCCTATTGGAGTGTGTCAGCCTTCTCTCAACAGACTTGTCTTCATTTAATGATTTGGATTTCCAGCATTATCCCAAGAAACACAAGGTGTAGAAAGATCTGACATCTTTTAGTGGTGTGTCTGATCTAAAGCTGAATAGTGGTGTGTCTCATCTGAAGCTGAAAGAATTCTGTGGGGGGGAAAAAAATTACTTGTATACACATCTGAGGGCTGTTGTATGCTAAATAGCAATATGTTGTAAAATTGAGGTTTGAGAAAAATACTTGAAATCTCTTTGATGAATAGTGTTAGGAAATTTAAATGTGGAGGTCATGCTGAGCTGCTTCTTTAACATTTATTTTTGTATTTAATAAACTGAGAAGCATCACACTTACGCAAAGGATAAGGTTATTAAAAGTCAAATTAAAAATGAATGTTCAAACAGAACAATTTGGAAGGGATTAAAGCAACAATAAACTCCTTGTCAAAGGTAGGAAAAGAAAATCTATCCCTTTATGCACCTCGTTATACACGAACCTGAAAAATAGGTAAGGTGTAGCTGTGAAGAAGTCCAGCATTCTAATCCTGGCTCTCTCCCTGCTGTCTAAGGTGGTGATTTTCCACAGGGCAGTGTAGTATCATCTTTCTGTGCAGCATCTTGTGCTGTGGCAGCCTGTGGTTGGAGTGGGGCTGGGATGCCAGCTCTCCTAGTTTGGGAGTGTGTCCTCTCACCCACAGCAATGTCTCTTGGAGCACCACAGGCTGTTCACTGGCACAGGCGTGCTGGAGGCCCAGCAGGCCCAGCACAGCCACTGCTCCTCCTCCCTGCCTGCCACAGCAACAGGAGGCCTGCAGTATTCTTTTTTCCCCTGAGTTGTAGATACTGTGTTACTATATTGGGTGGTTAATCTAAATTTTAGTTCTACAGTTAAGTCTGTAGGTTGAAAGATGGAGTTTTGATTTTCTTTAATGCTTCTATAGTAATAAAATGTAGATTGATTAGCAGGGAACAACAACTAAAATCTGTCCTGCTTGTGAAACTGTTGTGCCTGCCAGTGGTACATATACCAAGTGCTTTTGTGTGTGCAGTGTGTCACTTCCAAGCCTTTTACTGCAATCAGTGAGCTTGTCACACTTGCTTTGAGGGGTATTTGATAGAGGAGTCTTTGCAGAATGTGTCCTACTCAGTAGCAGTCTTCTCCTGTTGCAAGGCCAGTTTCAGCAGTTCTCTGGCTGCTGGAGAGCATGCCCTAGAAAATAAGACTTCTTTTCAGAGGTTGTTGCTGTTGCATCTCAAAACTTGTTGTCAGTGCTTGTTAAGGCAGTCAACTTCTTGAGCTGCTTAAAGCAGGCTTTTGGGGGCTATGTTCTATTAGTTATTTGGAACAAACTCTATTTGAGTTATCTACACATTCCTGCCTCTTAAATGCTTTTGAAGATGTTTAGAAGAATTACATTAAGTTTAGTTTTCAAGATTATTGTATTCTTGTGGAGGTTTTTTTTCCGTTCTCCAGTGATTAATTTTTTTAACTTCCCAGTAATTACAATAGCTTTTTGCCACTGAGAGTAAATCCAGGGATCATCAACTTATCTCTTACCTAGTATTGTTTGCTTATGTCCATTTGTACAGCAGACAGAGCCAAGACAGTGGAAGGACACGGACCAAGCTAACTATGGAGGAGCTTAAGGCATTTGTACAGCAGTTGTTCAGCTTGCCCTGTGTGATCAGCCAGGCCCGACAAGTAAAGGTAAGTTTGCATCCGCTCCTTAGATAGTTTTGTGGTTTTCTGTTTGTTTGGTGGTGTTTGTTTTTGTTTTTTTTTAACAGATAATGTTGCTTGGTGAAAAGTATGAAGGGATTTTTTTCTTTAAGAACTGAATAGGGTATTTAGTTTTTAGGTTCTAATGCAAAGTAAATAGCTGCTTTGCAGTGATACCTGAGGCCTCAAGAAAGGAAGCAGAAGAACCTGGATACCTCTAGCTTGGAGTGCCCCAGGTTTACTGGCTAATCTTGCTGTTGTCATTGAAGTTTTGTTGGTGACATGTTGCTGCCTGTCTGTAGTGGAACGGTAACATACAACTCCTGTGCATTTGCATGCGTGTCTGTGAGCAGGCAGCAGTGGCATTGGTACTTGGATGCTAGTGTAGCACACAAGTGTAGCAGCCCAGTATGTAGGGCTCAATTTTTTAGCCTAAGCGTGGGTGTGTAGTGCCTTGTGAGGTGCTCTGAAGTATTCTGCGTGGCCTCCGTTGCCATTCCAGAAGAATACCTCAGCTCCTGTGTAGCGGTGTCAGACAGTGTAGGGTGGCAGTCAGCGTTTAGGCAAACAGAGCACTGTGTGACTGTGCCTGTTGTGATGGGCATTGTGAGATGTGGTGGCCTTACTGTAGTGAAACCAAGATAGAAGATACCCCCCCCACACCCTCCTCACCCATCCCTGTTCAGTTTTCTCTCTGAACCCGTTACTCTTATCTCAGTATCATTAATTCTTTCTGCAGTGGTGATTTTCTGGTTAAATCCTACCCTTTATCTGTTTTTATAGAGAAGTCTGAAGGTTATGTTGGTGTGCTTCTTTAGGGGAGAGGGAAAGCAGTATCACACTGGCAGTTGCTCTGTAAATATTTCTCAGCCTTGCTTTCTAGGTTATAGCCCTCTTAATCTGTATGCATGGCCTGCATTTCTTGTCCTTCATAAGTGTCTTTGCATCTGTCTGGATGAATCTGGACTAGCGGGAGTCCAGATCATACTGAATCCCCTGGCTGCTGTTACCATTGGTCACCCTGGCAGTCTGGGTCCTAGCAAGTGTTGTCAGCAGCAGCATTAGTTTCTCTGTCACTGATGATGAAATGTTAAATAGCGTTTCCCCTACTAACCAGCTTCTAGAAAACTCCTTCAAGAGTTTTCCTTCAAAACATCCTTTATAAAGACTTTTCACCTTGAGAAATGGTTCTTGAGATGTGCATTAATATTGTTAACATACGTGATCTCTGTTGATACAGTTTCAATAAGTGTTCTGTAAATTAGAGGCCTAAAACTCTAAACAAGACTGTTTAAAAAGTCTTGTTTGAGAAGGCCTCTTTTCCACAAATGTTTGCTAGTGTTAGTTATGTCCTCCCTTCATGAATTCTGTATTAACTTTTCCATGGTAAATCAGTGTTGCTATCACTGAGACTTTATATTGGACTTTCTCCTTGTCTTTATGATACTGGTGTGCTGTTGCTAAAAACAAGTGCCTTCAGAAAACTCCAGGACTCCAGGATGCAGATTTTCCAGGCCCACTGACACTCATCTTTATCCTTCAAAGATAATCTGCAGTGTGTTTCCCAGCAGCTAGTAGAGTGGGAAGTATACTCTCATCCTCATGTGATAGGATGATTTTAACTATGCTTCTTTGCACAAACAAACCAGAAATATTTACTAATATTTATTCATGAAATTTTATCATCATCTGTTAATAGACCTATAAGAATGTTCTCAAAGGAGTTTTTTTCTAATGTATTTAAAACTTGCTTCTAATTAAGACATAATTTGTAGATGATAGATCTGCAGGCATACAGTAAACTCTCAATGGCTCTAATTTGTTTATTTTTGTCTAAATATTTTCTCCCAGCTAGTCCTTCTTTCCCCAGCCTTAGGAAGCTGGTTCTTTTGAAGTACTGTTTGTACATGTGTATATTTTTGAAGCTTCGACATCATCACTAGCCAATAAAATAAATATTATCATTTTACTCATTATAAATCATAGTCTTAGTAATCTGAATGAAGTCAGATAATGATAATTTATGCCAAAGCACTCACTAACTTTCAGCATGGCATTCAAATGCAATTATCTATCATAATGAATTGCAAAATAATTGTCATGTTGGATGATGAGTATTTTCTAACACGAAAGGCATTATAATTATTGAACTGTAATAATTCACTGTTATCACTGTGAAGCATCCAGCATATTTTCCCTAATTCAAAATCTTTATGGTGTGGCTATTTTTTTTTTTTTTTTTTTTTTTTTTTTGTAAATGCCTTCTGGTTTCCAGACAGTCAGAAAAAGCATCATCAAAAGGGTAGTAAGCCTAAGGGTTAGGAAATGCAAGTTTTGCTCCTCATTGTGTCATCATCTTGCTAGCAGAAATACCTATCTTTTTGTAAGAGACTCAAGAGTGAATGAGTTGAGTATACGGATTGCATGTCCTTGAATGAATCTCCTGCAGAGATTCTTTCCTGTTTGCTGTCTTTGATTTCTTTTTTTTATTGCAGTGCCAAAACAGGAGGATGAGGCCAACTGCAGCAGTGCAGTTAGATTTCTGTGAAATTATCTCCTTTTGTTAGAGGGTTTTGCATTTTCATTTATTTCCTTTGTGCAATAAACCACAGTATTGTGCAATAAAGTGTGTTTAGATGGTGGACCTGCTTCAGAAAACCGTGATTTCAAACTTTAACCATGGTTATTTTAATAATCTTTTGGTATTTGCATACTTGTATGGCTCTGGCTTGTTCTTTCTCCTCAGCATGTTTTGTTCTGTTGTGTATGACAGTCATTACTGTAATGCCCCTGACACTAGAATGAAAAGATCATCAATTTGCACAAGTCCCTTTTCCACCCACTCTTTTAAAATGAATGTTGATTGGGCAGTGCTTAATATTCTGCCTTGCTGGGAGCTGTATTCAGCTGCAGTTGTAGTATTTGAAGTGCAGAGTTTGATGCAACTAATACGCCTAGTGTATGGAATGTTAGGCTACCAAATAAGTTTAGACGGTCTCTTACGTAGTATGTGTCAGACTTGATGACTTGTGACAGCTAGCTGGCCTTGTGTGTAGAAGCTCTGACTGATGATGTGATGATAGCATACAAACTCACAGCTGACTGACCCCTCAGTCACCTTGCCCTTTTGATTTTGTGGGCATTTTTTCCTAATTGATTTGTACTGTATGTTACTTCAGAATCTGCTTGATGATGTGGAAGAATTTCATGAGCGTGCTCAAGAAGCTATGATGGATGAGATCCCAGACTCTTCCAAGCTGCAGGAGTTGATAGACTTGGGCTCTGGCCTTTATGTAGAGCTTCCTGAACTGCCAAGGCTGAAGCAAGAACTGCAGCAGGCACGGTGGCTGGATGAGGTGAGGTCCACCCTCTTGGATCCCCAGAGGGTCACCCTAGATGTGATGAAGAAGCTGATTGACTCAGGTGTGGGCTTGGCACCACACCATGCTGTAGAAAAAGCCATGGCTGAGCTGCAGGAGCTGCTTACGGTCTCAGAGAGGTGGGAGGAGAAGGCCAAGGTCTGCCTGCAGGCCAGGTGAGTGTTTCTTTGCAAACTGTTCTTGCAGGTCACACACTTCAGGATTCTCACCCTCTTTTGAAGGGTGTGGTGGAGAAGTAGGGGCTTTGAAGCTCTAGTACGTTGGGTTTTTTTCACCTCCCAGCATTTTTATTGCTCAAGAGTTGGGTTTGAAGTTGTTGATGAGTTTCAGAAGAGTTGATTCCTTGTCACATTGCACAGTGGCAGGAGGCTGTGAGTGTTGCTGCTGTCTTTGCTATTCATCCCCCTCAACAAAAAACACTATGCTACACAAGACAGCTTCTTTGATGTTAAGGAGTTGTGATGCTGTGCCCTTTTGAGCTTGATTGTGTAAAGTCCATTAGCTTTCTCACCTCTCCTGTACTTTGATAGCCAGTAGCGCTCTCCAAGAATAGAGCCATGGTATCCTACACTGCAGTGTAGTGATGAAGTTGCATCACCAGCCTGTCAATTTATGGCTTTAGTTGGCATTTTGAGAGAAGGCTGGAATTGGGTTTTTCTTGCTCTAGACCACGCCAAAGTATGATGGCTCTGGAGGGCATCGTGAATGAAGCAAAGAACATCCCTGCTTACCTGCCCAATGTGCTGGCCCTGAAAGAAGCCCTGCAGCGGGCTAGAGACTGGACAGCCAAAGTGGAGGCCATTCAGGTAGGGATTACAGCAGGGACTGGAGTCTTCTGCTTGCATCCTTTTATTTAGATGTGTTCTTCATTTCTAGCCCCTCTACCTGCAAAGGTGACCTGAAGGGAAGCCTGGCTATAGCTGTTAGATGGGATTTACTGTAGCTCGTGTGCTTGAAATTCTGTTTGTGCTCCTGTTTCCCCACTGGCTATCCAATTTCTGTTTCGCTTCCTGTTACACATTTCATGGGGGATGTAAAAGCTAGCAAGTTCATTATGCTACAAGTGTAACTCTCAGAGGGTATTTGGTATTGAAACTATTCTGCATACTGTCACTGGAAATACTTAGCTGGCTAGGGAAATGGTTTTATTTGTATTTTTTTTTTTTTCTCCCCTAAATGTTGTAAGATTTATTGATGCTGAGGCCTGAAATAGTCTATCTGAAATAGATGGAGTTATGACATTGTCAGTTTGGTGGCCTCCCCTTCTATTAGGCTACCCACGTAACTTGATCCAAAAGGGACATGGCTTCTGTCATATTTCTAGATGTTGATCTTTGGATTGCAACTGCTATTCTTATACCAGGTGTTTGATGGGAACTGAAGTGAGACTCCCAGTTGGTTTCACATCACCCCCTATACAGCTCTTGAATACAGCAGCTTACTGTTAAGCAGATAGAATTTAAGACAGCTGTCTAGAAAGGGAATGTTGTCTTACTCCCTAAGCCAGCTGGCCGTGTCAGAATGACTGTAAAATCAACATGAGAGAGTTTTTAAAAATATTAGTAAGAGTGAAACATTGCCCTCCTTTCCTTCCTATGGAACTGTTGTAGTCAGTGACAAAATAGAGCATGGCTTGAAATTAAGCTGGTCACGATATAATGGTGGAATCATTGGCTTACAAAAATGTCTTTTACCCCAGAATGGGAACAACTATGCCTACCTGGAGCAACTGGAGAGCTTGTCTGCCAAAGGCCGCCCCATCCCGGTGCGCCTGGACGCCCTGCCGCAGCTGGAGTCTCAGGTGGCCGCAGCACGCGCCTGGAGAGAGCGCACAGGGAGGACCTTCCTGAAGAAGAACTCAAGCTACAGTCTGTTACAGGTGAGCAACAGGCAACTCTGTCAGCCTTCAGAGAGTGATCGTGATAGCCCTCTGAGTTCTGGAGGGGACTGTTCAGTTACAGCAGGTTACAGCTCCTTTTGATAACAATGTAATAAAAAAGCTTCAGCTGTCCTTGGGTGAAAATAACTAAAAAGGCAAAAAGTCCATGTTTGGTTAGTCTTGTTAATGTATAGATAACATTAACATATATAAATATATATAGATAAAGATATATAAAAATCTATCTACAGATATTTTTATGTATGTAGAGACAGCCTCAGCTGTTATTAAAACTCTTCTTTTGGGGAGGGAAAGAAAAGGATTTCCTTTTTGTGTGTAGAAATGCAGGCCTGAAATGGACATAGGTGCTGTCTTTAGTTTATGGATGTTTACCATGTTCCACTGCTTAAAATCCAAGAAAATAGATTAGGTAATATTTCTTACAGTTAAACAGCTTATAAAATAAGTTGGTTACTGTTTATTTCACTTCAATGAATGTAGTCATTGTCTTTATTTAATAAAATAATTCATGTGTTTGAAGATTTACCGTATCTACTTGACAGGCTTCCCTGGTCTAGGGAAATCAGTTCCAGTTCCTTCAACACTTTCTTGTAGGCTGTATTTTTCACACTCATACCTTGTTGCTATTCTCTGTGGATTGTCTTAATGTCCAAACCCAGACAGAATCTTCTCACTGTGGCTTCCCTTGTGCTGTATGAAGTGCAATGATTACATCTTAAGTCTCAGAAGATACTGCTGTTTAATGTTTCCCAATGGGATCTGCCTCTGTTGCAACAACTTTGCACCGATTTCTGTTCAGTTTGATGCACACTAGGTCCAGATTGTTTTCCTCTATTTTCTCTACCCAACTAGTTTTTTAATGTTCTGTTTTTGCATTTGGCTGTTTTTCTAAATGTGTTGGTTTGAACTTCCCTATATTGATGTCACTTGCTGGGTTTTATATTTAAGCATGCCTTTCAACTAAACAAGATTAATTAAAATGTAATTCTTGTCCTTAAAAGTGTTTTGCAGCCTCTCATGTTTGATATTAAAAGGCTTATAGCATATTTTTTTAGTTTTGTTTCAGCTACCAAATTGGTGATGTAAATAGGAAATTGTGGGAGATCTTCAAGACTTGCAATTTTTCAAGGTTTTTGAAGTGAATGTTAAGCTACTGATATCTAACTGTATATAGTATTTCAGTTAGCTGTATGCATGATAGCTTAATATGAATAGAATTTGTGATTTAATCATGGAAACACAGGCTTTCGGGTTTATCTGCCACATCACTGTGGTGCTGATGATGTCCACATTCCATATATATGAAATACTTGTGTCCTTTTCTGTTTCTCCTCTTCCTAGCATTAATTGACAGGTATCAAAGGTGTTAGATTGCTGAGTATATTTTACTCTCTGTAATTGTGTTATGCTCTCTTATGTCCTTGAAATCATGACATTATAGATGAGAACATTTTTTCTGTTCTTGGTATTCTTGGCATCCTTGGCTCTGACAGCGTAGATTCTCTTGCTGGTTACAGGTTCTGAGCCCTCGGACTGATATTGGTGTTTATGGGAGCAGTAAGAACAGGCGGAAGAGGGCAAAGGAGTTGATGGAGAAGGAAAAGGAGAAAGATCTTGACTTGGAATCCCTAAGTGAACTGGAGGATGGGCTGGAGGAGGCCAGGGACACTGCGGCTGTGGTAAGGAGCAATAAAAGGTAGTGTCTCCTGATACATGGCTTTAATTTGTCTATAGTCTGCATAGAATCTGGTGGAAGAACTGATAAATGAATCTCAGTGGAACAAATATTTCATAATACGATGTTGACACAAGAATACAGTTCAACTTTAATTACAGTGAAAGTAGAGGGAAGCACAGTACAGAGTGTAAGTGCTCGTATTTAATGTGTTTGGCTATGTGTAAGACTTAAATGCTCGTGGGTTAATATCTGTGGCTGCTCATCTAATTTTAACATTTTTTTAAGTCACATCAAAATCATGAGTAACGAGGTTCAGCTCTACCCTAAACAGTGCTGAAACGTATTTGGTTAGGTCAAGTTTTGGGGGCAGCCTGCAAGTGCTTGGTCATGGGAATGGAGCTGAGGAGAATGTTTTACTTGATTCCTCCTTGTTAGGAGGAAGAATTTGCTGTTACCTGGCTGCTCTGTCTAGGAACAAATTAAATATACGCAGGTTCATTAACGTGGCATACACACAGTCTATTTTTACCTTAGTATGCGTTGTTATAATTACTTGAATGAAGACACTGAGGAGATACAAGTTGCTTCAGGAGATAGGTGGTAGCTCTGATGCTGCTGTTGCTGAGTCAACATTGAGACAATGGTCAGCTGCATCATCGTGGTAAACAGAATGAAGGACCTGATTCTCACTTCTTTCCTGGAGCTGAAACCTCTTCTTCTGGTGGCCTTACAGCAAATTTAATTATAAACATCAGAAACCTTGTAGATATGCAGAAGGTTATCTAAAGTTTACAAAGAACCTGTCAGACTCGGGAGAGTAATGAGAGAGGGGTATTTTAGCTAAAGCTTTAATCACACAATTCCTAAATTTTGGGCTAGTTTATCAAGAGATCTTCCCAGTTATGTTTTTATTTCTTTCCTTTTCCAATGTTGCTAATAAAATGTGCTCTCTCTTAGCTGTGAAAGTCCTTAACTGATTTTTGCCTTTGCTGCGTAGGTGGCTATATTCAAGGAGCGGGAGCAGAAGGAGGTTGAAGCCATGCATGCTCTCAGGGCAGCCAACCTGGCCAAGATGACGACGGTGGACCGGATCGAAGAAGTCAAATTCTGCGTCTGCCGCAAAACAGCGAGTGGGTTCATGCTGCAGTGCGAGCTGTGCAAGGACTGGTTTCACAGCGGCTGCGTGCCCCTTCCCAAGACGAGTTCTCAGAAGAAGGGCTCTACCTGGCAGGCCAAAGAAGTGAAGTTCCTGTGTCCGCTCTGCATGCGTTCCCGAAGGCCGCGGCTGGAGACGATCCTGTCGCTGCCGGCCGGTACGGCTGCCGGAGGGCGAGGCGCTGCAGTGCCTGACGGAGCGGGCCATGAGCTGGCAGGACCGGGCGCGGCAGGCTTTGGCCACCGACGAGCTGTCCTCCGCTTTGGCCAAGCTGTCTGTGCTCAGCCAGCGCATGGTGGAGCAGGCGGCACGGGAGAAAACAGAGAAGATCATCAGTGCAGAGCTACAGAAGGCAGCAGCTAACCCAGACCTGCAGGTGGGCGTGCGGATGCCTTGCTCTTTACTGCGCTTGTCCTGCTGCTGCATGGTGAAATGTCTGATCTTTCTTGGAGAAGCTTAGAGGAGAGTGGAGGGCAGCTCAAGGCAGAGAGCTAGACACAAAAATGACCTAGTTCTGTGCTCCTCTGGCCATGGCTGGCTTCAGTCAGATACAGGCTGCTCCAGGAGCAGGCCTGTTACATTGTACCTGCTGTCACAGGAGCTGTTGAAGGTGCTTTTAAGAATCCTCCTTCAGATGTAACAGCTGGCTGCTGGCCTGGAGATCTGTAAAGCAGTGGCTGCTTTGGTGTCCAAATTCCATTCCCCTCTTGATGGAATTGAGGGTTTCAGTACTTTAAATTTTTCATGGATTATGTCTCTCAGGCTTTTGGTGTCTTGGTCATAAATTCCAGCTAGGACTGTAGGCACACTGTGGTGCTTCTGTGGCTGAGCTCTTCATCTTGAGATTGAGACCAGTATTTAGATGATGCTGTGGTGAAGAAGTTTGTGCAACCACAGGCTGTAATTTGGTAGCACTGAAGAGCTCTAGTATCTAGATCCTCCTAGTCACTACTAGTCATAAACATGGAAATAAACTGTAATGGAACTTTGTCCTTAGGCATTTCTGTATTTTTCTTCACTTCTTGCTGTAGCTACAGTTTTCTGTGACTGTCTGAGCAGTTACCCTTAGAACCACTGTTTTCTGTGTCAGTAACTTTTAAATAGATTTTTCTGGAACTTTTGTTTTTTCATTCCTGTATCCCTGTATTTGGTTTTAGGGACACTTGACTAGTTTCCAGCAATCAGCCTTTAACAGAGTGATAGGGAGTGTGTCCTCATCCCCACGGCAGACTTTGGATTATGATGATGAAGAGACAGACTCTGATGAAGACATCAGGGAGACATATGGCTATGACATAAAGGTAAGTCGCCAAATGTGGCTTGTCTACATGGAATTAATCCAGAACACCCTTTTTTATTCAATTAACTTAAGAATATTTTTAATATATTAAGCTATATCTGTACATTCTGCCTGGGCTCCAGCTGAGGAAGAGGTGCTTCTTGTTTTTTATCTGAATGTCTCAGCTCTGGACTATTGGAAAGTTTTGTAGTGTTTATATTAAAAACATCTAATTATTCTGTGATTGAGTTTCAGAAGGTGCTTTTTAGTGCTAAGGTAAACAATACACTTCTCAAGGGATTTGTATTTATAATACTGCGGAGGATGAAGGTTGTCCTTATGCCCCATTCAGAGATATCATGAATCATCAATGTGTCTGTATGGGGAATTCTTCAACAATTTTGTTTCAACAGAAAAAAAAATAGTATTTGAAAATGGCTTGGTCTGTAAGAAGTTACTTGATGCCAGAGCTTCTTTGACATTTCAATACCTTTCTCTTCATTTTACCCTTGTATAAAGAAGGTACATGTATTTGATTTTGGATGTGTGGAAATACTCAACACTAGGTGCCTGGGCCATGTTGTAAAATTAGTGTCTGGATTTAGGTCAGAAATTTTAACTGCAGTTAAATTTTTGAAATATTTTAACGAGAGAAGAACTTAAGGAGAAAAGGTAGTCATAGGGGGTAGTCACGTATCAGCGTGATGTTATTTCACTTTGGAAATGTCCTTTTGATATATGTAGAGACAAAAGCAATGCCACTGTTTCTTCATGTGGAGTGTTATCTTTTTAGTGATGATGTCATATCTACCTTAAAAGACGCTAACTTAAGGCAGTGTGGTCTGTGGCAGACTTTTCTGGTTTATAAAAGGACAGCACATTTTCCAGGTATAATTTGCCTCAATCTCTTTATTTTTAGTATTTTGTTCCTAAGCAGCTTTATGCAAATACGTACATTTTCTTACAGTCCCATGTGAAATGCCAACGAGAACACGCTGCACTCTGATGTTAAAGCTTTTAATTAAATTACTTTTATGTACTTATTTAAAAAAAAATTCCAAAGTGTTTGTTGCATCAGGAGTCATAAGGCATTTCTGGAAGATGTGTCATTTTCTGAGGCTGTGATAAAGCATATGTCAAGAAAGATGGCATATGCTTGCTTGCATCTGAGGGTTTTGCAGGAGTGTAGTTTCATTTGTTTAATGATTTCTGTTGTCATGATTTCAGAATCTCTTACTTAACCCTTTTGATTTAGACATCCATCACTATATGTAATTGTAGAAACCTAAAAGTAAATATCTGTCAAAGCAAATCTGACAGGGACCAGAAATGTGGGTTTTTTTTAGGTTAACTAACATGATTAGAATAGAAGACAAATTTTCAAGCCATCAAATTCTTCAGGTTGAAAGAAATAGCAAAGTTGCTCAGTTTATTTTTATACTATTGGCTTTCAAGGCTTGGGTTTTTTCAATTTATGATCTAGAAACATTTTCCATTATAGTGATGTGTTAAAAACAAAACCAAACCCTAATATATAGATTATGATGGATCCTGTATGATTTTGCTCTTAACTTCCTATGACCTTACAGAAGTAATCTTTGGATCCCTAAGAGTCCATAGATTATAGTGCCAACACCAGTCTCGGATGTCTGAAGTACAGCAGTGGTTACAGAAACACATGTGAAAAGACCTGTTTGATTATATTGTGCTTCTTCTAATTAAAATGTTTCTTGCCAGCAAATACTTCATTACGAGTGCAATAACTAGACTTGTTTTAGGAATTATTCAAAGCAGTCAGGCTGATGCACTCATCAAATTTACTGTAAAATTCCTTCACCTTTAACTGCCTTGTGTAATATGATATCCAGAATGAGATATTGTACAAGGTATAACCTCTACTATGTAGGGGAAAATATCTACCTCTTTCTGAATATATTTATTTTACCTTTTCATCTGGACAGTTTAAAACTGAATTTCCCACTTATAGTTCTGTACTGAAATCATTAGTGTGCACTTCGCTTCCTTTTAAGAGTGTAACTGAAAGCCAGAGAGAGATTACCATTCTTAAACTCGCTTTTTATGTCATGAAATGACAGTGTCTGGGTGGTACAATTTCCTGAGTTGGCCATTTTGGGACCCACACAGCTAATCTTCAGGTAAATATTGTCGACTGTTCTACAGCCTTCCTCTTCTTTTAAGCCAGCTTCTTGGGTTTTATTGTTCCCTTAAAGATTTCAGTTTTACATGGCATGCTAAGTATATCTAACCTGTTGGACAGTTCCATCACAAATGTGCTAGGGTGGCTGAGTTTTGGAAAGTGCTGTGGAAGTAGTAGATTGATGAGACAATCCATATTAATTGCACCTGCAGGGGTGATTAAGAAGAGGGAGAAGTTAGTACTAGGGGGCATCAGGAAATCTACTCACATGGGCTTGTGCCTTCCCTGTATTCTCTGTCTAATGTAATGTGAAGTTAAACAAAGCTTCTCCCACTGCTAAGAGATTTCCTAATCTCTTTTCTCTTAGTGGATCCACCTGCACTTGAAGGCATGGGTCCCATTTCAGAGTGTGATGCATCTGACAAGTCAAGCGGTCATCCTGCACAATGCATAGAGCTGAGCAGAGGCCAATGCCGTTGTTATTCTGTTCATGGAAATTATTCACAACAGTTCCAAGTACTAAAGCCCTCTTCATTTCATTGTATGGTCCTCTTGTAAAATGGCTCAAGACTCCCATAAAAGTCCTGATCTCAGGGCAACATTTGATTGTTTGCCATTACACTCTTTGTTGCTGGGCTGGAAAACCCAGGTTTTTCCTCACCTGTAGGATCTTTAATTTCTTACTTGGTATACCCTGCTTTACTAAAGATACAAGTCTTCATGGTCTTGCAGTAAAATTCTTCAAGCAAAAAAGCTAATGTAGGCTAAGAGTAAGCCTCTTTTCATTATGTTGACTTCTGAAGACCATATTTGAGGAGCTGCTGAGTGAGGAAAGTCATCCGGTGTTTCTCATGCACTAGGTACAAATCTGCTGACCAATTTTCATGGTTGGTGTGTTCCTCCACTATTTAAGTAGGGATGTAGCCTATACTTTTGGCATGTGGTCGTGGTGTCTCCAGTGGGGTGCTTCAAGGTAGGGTTTCTGGAACAACAGACTGGTTGGTCTTGATAGAATTTACTTTGAAGTAGTTATTTTCTGGATCCAGATGTTGCATGTTCTGTGGGTCTTTTTCAGGACAATGCCAGTGTAAAATCTTCTAGCAGCTTGGAGCCAAATTTGTTTTGTGATGAGGAAATCCCCATTAAATCAGAGGAAGTGGTGACACACATGTGGACTGCTCCTTCATTCTGTGCTGAACATGCGTATTCGTCTGCCTCCAAAAGCTGCTCTCAAGGTATTTGATTTTGTGTACACTGAGAGAAAATTGGTCAGATAGCTGGGATGAGCAGTCAGTAGGGGGAGAACTGCTCTCTTACCTGTGCTGATTGTAGAGGATATGTTGTTTGTAAGAGGGTGCAGTTAGGGTTACGTTGCAGTTAGTTTCCCAACATCTGGTTTATAAACTTGTGTCTTTTGCCTGGGATTGTCTCCATCCTTAGATGATCATTGTAAACAGGATATCATTTCTTTTGGTTTTGATGTCTTCCTTTTATGCTTCTATGACTTGCCTTCTGTATGAAAGGTTCTAGCACTCCAAGGAAGCAGCCTCGGAAGAGTCCGCTGGTACCTCGCAGTATGGAGCCCCCTATACTGGAGCTGTCACCTGGAGCGAAAGCTCAGCTAGAAGATCTGATGATGGTAGGAGATCTACTAGAGGTATCACTGGATGAGACTCAGCACATCTGGCGGATTTTACAGGCTACTCATCCACCCTCTGAGGACAGGTTCCTTCATATCATGGAGGTATGGAACTAGAAGAAATATTCTGGGATAGAAAAACAAAACACATTTTGGTGTTTTATAAAAAAAAAGATAATCTTAAGTAGTTGAGTGCTTAGTTACTTGACATGTTTGGATTTCTACTGGGAAATAGTAGATTCCAGAAAGCAACAGAGTACAAGATCTAAAAAGTTCAGTTCTTGATCGCTTATGCCGTAACATCATCCTCCACAATTAACCATATTTAGAACAGTTTTCTCAGGCAGTTTCATATGCAAGCCTTATTTTAGAAAATATAAGGTTAAGGAAAGAAACACTGTTCTTGATGATGGTTGGAATCAAAACTGATGTGCAAAAGTATTACAGGAAACATGTAGAAAGCTCAAAAGTCTACATTTAGCTTATATAACCTGATACTTGTATGTTGCTGAACTTTCACTGTTTCTGGGGAAAGAACGCTTTTTTGATAAAACATGGTTTAGTAATGCAGGTAACAAGATTCCTGTTCCTTCTCAGAATGACACAGACATAGGTTCTTTTATTAATACACTGTGAAGATGTGCTTGTCACTGCTCAGCTGACAATGAATGAGGCAGGCTTATCTGCTGGTTCTGAGCTGTAGTCCAAATCACTTAACCTCGTTTATTTGGTGGGTAAGTGGAGTGTGAATGATGGGTGTGTGCTGAAAGAGAATGTGAACTTTTGGTTGAAGAGCTGTACTGGTACCCATCCTTTATTACCTGTCAGCTGGAGTTAGGGGTCAGTTTGACGGTGTAGTTATAGAGTATAGGATTGCTTTTTGAGTTACTTAACTGTGCAGGAAATCTGTTGAAGACGGTTCTTCACTTTTTGGTAGTATACAGTAATACAAGGTATTAGGTGACATGCTGTGAACGGTGAGGCTAGATGAGCTTATTGATTGGTTTCTCGTTTCCTGAGTGCTCTCCATATTGACTGGCTAAGCCAAAGTGTTGCCAAGCCACCATCAGTTGGGACAGCAGTATAAAACAGGCCCTGCCTCCAAAGAAGCAAAACACTGCTCTATTGTGTTTTGATGCAAGTACTTCACAAGCTTAAGATTCTTTTATTGTAGTGGTTTTGACATGAAATGGATTGAAGAACAGTTTGAATGCCAGCAAATAGCAATTTATAAATAGCTATTAACATAGCAGTCTGGTAGACTAACATAACTTTTTGGGGGAGGGCAGGGGGTGAGAGGATGTGTGCTATGATGTTTTTCTGGTTAGTGCCTATGAATGCTCGTTCAACCAGAGGTACTAATTTTGAATTCAATACCTTTCTTTGTCTGTTCACATGCAAAGTAAGTAGCCTTTTGTAAAATAACCAGAGAATATGGTTTTGGGTGGAGTAGCTATATTAAATAAACAGTAAACAGAATCTGTCTTTACTGATTTATAGTATGTCCTTAGTCTGTTAATAATTATTAAAGTACATAGCTGGATTAACTGAAATAGAGTTAGTCCTGTTTGTGCAAAGGAGCTATATATGTGAATCTTCGAGTGATAAATAGGACTTGTCACTGGATGCTGCCTGCAGTAGCAGAGTTTGCCCGTTTTAAGCCTCACTTCTGATCCGAATCTGCTATTTAAGAGCTGTTAACGATGCCAGGATATTTACAATGTGTGCCAGTTTGGAAGCTCTTCAAATAATGGATCTGTTACTTCCTTCTCTTGCTTGAGTTGGTGATACATTTTTAAGAATTCACCAACTGCTCTTTCTTAAGCTTCAGAATAGCAGTCGCTTTCTCTCAAAAATAATTACAGGCAAGACTGACCTAGGATGAAAAATAAGCAAGAGCATCTGACAAATGATTAATCTTCTCAACTTTTCTTAAAAAGCAGTGTGAGAAGGGAGATATAATTATTGCTTATTCTGCCTCCTTACCCTTGCTGATGATTTACTTCTTCCAGTGGACATTTTTGATACATTGTACTTTGACACAGTTCATACCACTTGCTACTTTTTTTTTCCCCCCCTAGTGTAGCAAAAATAAACTCGAGCCTGTTTTTGCTTAGAATTTGTAACAGTATGTTGCTGAATAAGTTTCTTCATACCATGTCAGGGTAATAGTGGAGGTAAGTACATCTCTTGAACAGCAGGTTTGCAATATATGGGAACTTAATTTTGAAAAACTCTTTCCACTCTTTCTATGAAGGATGACAGCATGGATGAGAAACCACTGAAAATGAGAGGGAGAGACTCTTCTGAGAGGAAGCGGAAGAGAAAGCTGGAGAGAGCAGAGCAGTTCTTTGGAGATATGAAGCAAAAATCTAAAGAGCTGAAAAAACTGGAAAAACCCAAGAAGAAGAAGCTAAAACTCACCATGGATAAGACAAAGGAGCTGAACAAGCTGGCAAAGAAACTGGCTAAGGAAGAGGAGCGGAAGAAGAAGCGAGAGAAGGCAGTTGTCACAAAGGTGGAACTAGCAAAGGAGAGCACAGAGAAGAAAAGAGAGAAGAAGGTTCTAGATATTCCTTCCAAGTACGACTGGTCCGGAGCGGAAGAGTCGGATGACGAGAACGCTGTGTGTGCTGCACAGAACTGCCAGAGGCCCTGCAAGGACAAAGTGAGTTTTTGCTTAGTCCTGTCACAGGCAATTCCTTGCAGGGTCAAAAACCCCAGTGAAACTTGCTTTTGCTGTTCAACCTTATTAACAAAAGCGCTATTATTAGAAATGAGGGAGGATTGAGTAGTACAGAGTTGTAGCAGATAAAATTGTGGAACTTCCTTATTCTCTTAGAAACTGCTGTGATACTACTAGATACCTAGATCTACTAGATCAACTCACATTGTACGATGTTTTTTGGAATGTTTTTTCTGCTTTTTTGAAAGAAGTAAGAAAACCACTCCAAATAATAACTGTGGGATTGACACTACTGTTCTGGGTTGCACAAGAGAGAGTAGGAACCGCTAGCGATACCAAAAACTTACTGTTGTTTGACAAAACTGAAACATGGAATTCAAATGTTCATTTGAATGCTTAAAAAGACCAGTTAAAAGACCAGTTTTGAAGTCTTAAACTTAGACCAAGGTTAGAAATTATACTCAATGGCCCCAAAGATGGCACAGTCTTTGTACCACCATGCTCTTTACTTCACAGTTGATAATTTCCCTATATTAGTACATTTATACAGAAATGGGAGATTGCAAGAGGAGAGTGCCTTTAAGTTCATATTATAAAGGAGGTCATGCTGAATTTGTCAAAAATTTGTCAAACTTTCATAAATGAAACTGAGTGAAATTCCTGATGGTATAATCAAAGCTTGTAATGGAATAACTGTCTCACCATAAGGTTCAGTGGTTTTTTGTACATTGAAGAGGTGAATGCCATACAAGTCAAAAATGGCAGATGCAATGAAGTAATGATTGAAGCTGCAGCTGTTAGTATACATTACTAGAACTAAAATTCATTCAGCAGTAGTTTTCCTACAAATTGAAGTAAAATCTCAAGCTGATAACGTTTCTTCATTTTAGATAAGCTGCCACTACTGTTGTTATTCTAAAAGATTTTCATTTTCACATTCCCCTCTAAGGTGGAAGCTGAACTACAGCAGTAAAACTTTTATAGCTGTACCAGTATGAGCCATTAATTCTTAAAATTAAGGATCTGTAGTCCTTATTCTGCAGATGTTTCTGCCCACTGACTCAAATTAACTTGTACTTTTACTTGTACTGCTGAAATCTAATAATTCATCTTTTTTTTTCCTTCCTGAGTTTTAATGGACTTTTTGTGCCTTTTTCCTAATTCTCTGATAGCAAGTTCAGCTCCAGGTTAGAAATATTATAGCTTAGATGTTTTGACACTTTTGAGTTACTGTTTGCGTGCTTTTTTCATTTAAAGGCCTACTGTATACCCAATATCTGGTTGGCAGAAAAGTATTAATGACATGCTGCTGTCATGTGGTTTTTTTAGTGAAAAGCAGTAATCAAGAAATTTTGGTGTATTTTTTTTTTAAGTTTCAGAAGATGATAATGCAGTCTAAGAGGAGATGTGTAATTTAGGATGTGTAGAGTCTTATCTCTGCAGAAGTAACTGTCCCTGAGCATGCTCCAATTTTAAATGTGTTCTAGAATACCTTTCACTTGAGGACAGCCCACTATCTTCCTTGGTAATAGCAGTAGTGTGTGTCTGTGGTGGTGTGCTCTAAGGATGTAAGAGGGGCAAGGTTTGTGGTTATTTTTTTTTATCCAACTGAAGCAGCTTGTTAGAAAAATCTTTATAGGGCATTAATTTGTACTCAAAAGCTGCTTTTTTTTTCTGTTCTAAGCATATGAGATGAGTTTCACAGAAGGTCTTGTCTTCATCAAAACTATGCCCATCTGTCTCTCCTTGTAATGTGCTGCTGATCTGATCTTTTGCAGGTAGACTGGGTGCAGTGTGACGGTGGCTGCGATGAGTGGTTTCATCAGGTTTGTGTTGGTGTCTCTCCAGAAATGGCTGAGAATGAGGATTACATCTGTATAAACTGTGCAAAGAAGCCCATGCAGGGACCAAGTAGCCCTGCTCACGCACCACCTCCAGCTTTCCTGTTGAGCTACAAACTACCAATGGAAGACCTTAAGGAGACAAGTTAGCAACTACTCCATGCCTGGAACTTTTTGGGAAATGGACCACTGAAACCCTACAGAAAGAGAGGGTTTGAAGCTAATGTAGCCACTGAGCTTCACTTCCAAGGATGTACAGACCTGCAGCAGAGTTGGTCCCTTCCTTACAGCTGGCTTCCTTCATTTAATGGGGACGTCAAGGCACAGTGGTACCGACTCATCTATGCAGACAGCGCCTGACTGGGACCTCCAGCCAGTGTTTTCTTGACTTGAGTGTTTCCATCTTTGAGTGTGGCTGTTTCTCTTACGGACTGAGCAAACCCGAGGCTGTTAGATTAGACACTTCAGGGTGTTAGAAGTACACGTTGGCAGAGGAACTGGCCTGGAATTGGTGGGCATAGGCTGGTGCTTTTAGGCCTACTACATTACCCTAAGGAGGCAGCTTTGAAAGTTACCTTTTGCCTCCCCATGCCATGCCAGTGAGTAGGGCTATGTCTTGGGAGAGTTGAGTTGCCTCCATATCCAGGCAGCTAACACTACACTGTAAGGATGGGAGCAAGTGGATGAATTTCGTGTAATTTCTCTCTTGTAGCTAAAGGGCAGAGGATCTCAGAAATCAGCAAAGGCTCTGTTTACCAAAAAAGAAACCCAGCTCTACTCCACTCAGCAACATTTTTCCCTCAGTGGGGAACAGCTGATCTTCCTGTCCTGAGGAGGGCCAGAACGCATGGGTAAGGTCTAGCTAGACCAGAGCTCGGGAAGAGCAGCGTGCTTCCCTGTCACAGGGGTGCCCTCTCCTGTTCTGGGCTTTGCTTAGAGTTCTGCACTCCTGCATGTTAAAGTTGTCACACGCAGGATGGAGCTGGCAAGGGGGTGCAGCACCCAGGGCACCAGCTCCTGTGGTCTGTACCCAGGGATGGGAAGGAAAGAAGACAGCCCACTTACCTCAGAGGTAACACTGACATGTGCTTCTGTGAAAAGTTTCACTCACAACTATTTCCAGTATCACCAGGCTACGGGCATGGCCTCAAGAGATACCAGCAAGCAGTCTGCAGATACTGTTGGCAGTGCAAATCCCCCTCCCTGCTGGCTTTGCTGGATGTGTACCAGGGTACAATCAGCAACCCTTCTTGTTTGAAGTTGCCCCTGGCTTTGCCAGAGGACCAGAGGGCTTGGGGTCATCCTGGGTGGCAGTTGTTTTAGTAAATCCATTTTTAAAGGAGGACTTGTTTTTACTTTTTTCTAAATGTCTCAGACTACTGACTTGTTCTATAAATAGATTATTTTTCTTTGATTTTTTTATACTTACCACTGTTAACCAGCAGCACAGACAGAGGTTCACAAAGCAAAAACCTGCCCGTGGGCTTGGGTTTTTTTTACTCCATTCCTTCCTTGTAGTACAAGGAATTAGCAGTTACCTTCCCCATTCTAGCTTGACCAGCTGCCTGTGTTTAAATAGGTAAATACATTTCATGTGCTACCTTTGTGTTTGGGTTTGTTCCTCTTAGTGGGGCATCTGGGCCTTAAGGACTCCCATGGGCACTGGCTTTGTATCTGTGAGTGTCTGGAGCCAGCCGCTGGGCTGTCTTGTCCCCCTCTCCACTGCTCCCTATTGTGTTTCCATTCTTCTGCAGTTCTAGGAGTGTTGTAAGTAGTGTCCAGTCTTACTAGGAGATGGATTGGGATTTAAAGAAATATTGACAAAAACAAAAGTGTTCTGTCTTGACTGTTCTGTGTCCCTTCTCTTGTTCTCTAATATTTGGAAGTTTCTTTATCTGGCAGAATTATCCATCAAAAAAAAAAAAAAAAAAAAATTCAGCTCAGGTAGACGAACTTTATCCATTTGTTTTATTTGTGCCTGCTACCTCAGAAGAGGAAGATGTGCAAAAGAAAAAGAACTCAGAGGGCAGAAGATGCAGGGTCTTGGGAGCTTTGAGTGCAGATTGGGTACAGACTTCTAATTCTTGCTCCTAAAAGGCTAAGATGGTGTTAAAAGCAAAAGCAAGCCGTGCTTCAGTGTGTGGCTGAATGGGCACCCTAGCAAACTTAAGACTATTATTTGTTTACTTATTTATGAAGGAGTCTATGCTATAGCTAGACATACCCTCTTTTTGCTCCAGTTACATTTTTTTTTTCTCAATGTACGCTTAGTTTTGGTAAACTGGTTTAAACAGATGTTACTTTCCTTCAAGCTTTAACTGATGGTACTACATAAATGTTTCCCTATATGGAGTGGATAGACTATCTGTCAGATGTTTTAATCGTTGCAGAAGTAGACTAGTATGAGATTTCTTAAAGAATCCCAGTGTTCTGTATTCTTTCCTGACTCCTAGAATCCGTGACAACAGAGACAATACGGTTAGCACATCCTGTTAGCCACTGAGCGTGTCCTCCTAACCATTCCTGCATTCTCTGTCGTGACAAAGTCATTGTTATGTGTTGTTACCATCAACTGGAAGAGAGATCTTTTAGTAAATCTGCGTTGAATGTTCCCGTTTCTCCGAGTAGAAGGTGTGGTGGAGAATGTTAACAGCAGCACTAGTTACAGCAAGAAAGAAACAGCTGTACAATGCAAGGTTCAATCGTTCTGGTTGTAACAAGCGTAGAAAAGGGTAAACAAAGAAATGTGCAAATGATGTGCAAAAGGTCACACTTAGTAACTGGTTTTGCTGTTATAATACGGAGAGGCTCTTTATTACACTGTTGACAGGAGGTTGCCACACTTTCTAGTTCCAGATGTCTCATCTGCTCTCGGGTAAGGTGTTCAAAAACTGAAGACCATTATTAGCTTTACATCTTATTGTTTAAGCTTATTTTTTAAGAGCGTAATTCCTATCAAAGGATTTCTGGTAGTATGAACTTATGAATAAATGTTAACTTTTGGAAAAATCTGTAGATATGTAGTTAGTGGTTGAAAAGTCTAAAGCTGGAGCTGTGGTGTTGTCTCCAGATGTTAGGGTTTTGAACTCCTATAAAAACATGTGCAAAGGTGCAAAACAAAGTTAAGCCAAGGAAATAATTTTCTTACCGGCCTGTTACGACTGTAGGAAAAAAATCTCTCATGCCTTGCAGAGGGAAAATCTCAGTATAGACAAAATCTTAACTCATGGATATCTAGGAGGGTACGAAAGTTATTAGCAACTGCTCATGTTACTTCTCTTCCTGTGTCTGACACAAAAGGTTGAAGAAGTGAGCTGAGCTATTGTGAGGAACTAAAAATGACCAGGACTTGAGTTGTATATCTTATCCAAACCATGGGGTCTCAAGCTCTTATTTTTTTAAGAACTAGGGCCTGGAATTGGGCAGCTTTATTTGCATAAAGATAAACATCACTCCTGAACTTCAGTACCATTACTTTTAGGATTTATGCTTTTGACAGATCATCTGTAGCTGAATGCTTGTGCAGCCTGGACTATTTGATAATGAGGGCCTAAGGGAAAATTGATGCTATTATGGAAATTATCTCAAGGGACTGGAATACAGTCACACAGTGTAGAGATAACAAACAGATGTCTGTGTTTTGTTGGCCATGCTGTGAAGCTTGCATTCATCTTTGCAGTTTTTAGAACCATAGAGTAATTTAGGTTGGGAGAACTTCTGGAGGTCATCTGGGTCATCCAGGCTGACTTTAAAAGTAGGTCAGATTTTTTCAGAGCTGAGTCCACCCAAGTTTTGAGTATTTCCAGGGATGGGTATTTGACAACATCTGCCTTCCAGTTACAGTTTTGTAGCATCTTCCGTGCAAACTTTTGTCTAATGTACTGTCAGAGGTTGACTTGCCCTAGCTTGCCTGTTGCTTCTTGAACAGTCGGGCTCCATTTCTTTTTTTTTTTGTAACCATCCATTGGTTGGTTGAAGACTTCAGGTCCTGCAGCCTTAATTTCCAAACTGAACCAGCCCAGTTTGGCCTTCCCTGAACCACGTCTTGAGTTTCAACAGTAACAACCTTGCTGATCCTCAGCTGGAATTGTTGTGGGTTTGTCCAGGTCTGGTTTTGTACTGAGGAGCCCAAACCTGGGTGTGCTACCCCAGAGGCAGCTCACAAGTGTTGAATATAGGGGGAAAATAACGTCTTTAACCTGCTGGCCATGCTTTTACTATGCAGCCTGGTATAGGGTTGGCCTTCATAGCTGCAAGGGGGGGAAACTGCTGACTCCTCTTCACTGTGTCCAGATAGCCTCAGGGCCCTGGTTTATTGTTTCTCAGGTGCAGGACTGGTGAACTTAAACTTTCTATCAGCACATCAGCCAGTGAAGATCCAAGTGAATTGGAGCCTTCTCCTCCCATGTTTTGGGTTGTGCTTCTGTCCTCCACCAATGTCAACGTCATGTTCAGCAGCATCTGCAAGCTCGAGTGTGCTCTATTCCACCACCCAGATGGGTAAGACATAAAAGAGTGGTCTCCAATACCAGCCCCTGAGGTGCTCCACTTGCAGCTGGCCATGTCCTAGGTTTCAAATCGCTGACTACTAAAGGTCACTCCCACTGTAAGTTGTCCATCCATTACACAAGTATGTTTGCTGTAAGTTGGGGTAAACATCCACTGCTCTCTCCCTGTCCACAGGGCTCATCATGGAAGGCAACCAGACTGGGCTAAGATTATAGTGATGACTGTTGCCAGTCACCTTATCCCTCATCGACCTGGGTGTGGCTTTGAGGGGGATTTATTCCATGATCTTCCCAGAGAGCGGGGTGAGGCTAGCTGCCCTGTAGTTCCCCACATCCTCCTTGTTTACTCTTATTTGCTGAATGGGCATGACATGCAGAAGGGTTCATCACAATCCATCAAAGAAATTAGCTTCCGTACAGACGTTTTCTTAGGCTTTGTTCCTCATTACGGCATATAAGATTTGAAGGAAATATAAAAATCCAAGCTATTTGAATTCTTGTTTATAAGATGCATGGAAAATCAAATGGCAGAGCCAAGCTTCAAATTCAGGTGCTGCACATACCTGAACTCCATGTGGGCTACCAAGCCCACAGTTATGTCAGTCCCATAAACCTAGGTACAAGTCCAAGCTGGTCTGGTTGAAGTCAATGTTATTGATGCATGGTCCTTCTGTACATAATTCTTCACACTGGAAGAAAGACATAATACAAATGAGTCTGGACAGGGGCATGTGATCTAACTTTTAGGAGGAATGAAACAGTCTACAGCCTTGTTCATCCCAACAGTAGGCTGCTTGCTAGGCAGCTGTCCAAGGATAGCTATCACCTTCATTTTGGGTTGTTCTATAATATGTTACTGGAATAAGCACAACACAGAGTTGTAGCAAAGTAGAGCAAAAAATATCTAGATATTCATAGTTGCTTCTCAGACAGCCTTGCTGTCATTCTAGGAACAAGTTGCATACCTTTAAAAATGACTGATGGAAAGAGCTGCTGTTGTTGATAGCAGTCATCCTGTATCTTAGAAATTTAAAGGGTGGAGAAAGTTTTGGAAAATTGTTCTTGAAATTGCTGTTAATGCCCCTGTAAGAAATTGAAAACTGTGGTCTGCCAAAACCAAGATTTGAGACTCCCTCAAGTTACATGAAAATGAAAAGCAGGGAACTCTTTTGAATCCTCTCCAGCTGTGGTCACTAGGAATGTGTTTGGTCAGCCTGCCTGAACCAAACAGGAACTCTGCTTGGAGCACAGAGGCAGTGGGGATATGCCATAAATCCAGCCCTTATCGAAATTCTGGCCACGCGGGCTTTGGGAGGGTGATAAATGCGTAGGACAGCTGGAAACTGCACAACCAGACGTGGAGAGCATTGAGCCTCATGTAATGAGATGGCTTGCTACAAATGAATGTTAACTTGCAAGGTGAAGGCAATGGCAGTAGCAAGGATTTATTGAAAAGCAGACGTGTTTGTAAGGAGACATGGTCTAAATGCTTTTGAAACAAAAGCCCTACTGCAGGGAGTAGTTTTAATCTTGTATGGGGCATTGAGTCTCAGCTGGAGGCTTTTCAGAGGCCAAGTTTTGGCAGTTGCCTGCCACATCCCCCTAAAAAAAGTCATTTAAAGCCCAAGTGCCAGAGGGAACTGCTGTGGGTATTAATATCTGAGGAGGCAGCCACCTCTGAACACAGGTCCTGAGACAGTTGATGTCACCAGCCAGCCTGGCATCTGCATTTAATGGACAGGTGATGTGCCAGCAGATCAAACTGCTGCATCTGTTCCCAGGTTGCTGCATCTGTTCCCAGGTTGCTGCAGTCTGTGCTTAGTCCAGCAGCAGCTCAGGTCACCTGCCAACTGGGTGTGCTGCTCCTGTTGCATGTAGCGATGGATAAATTTGGTAAGACAGGCTAGAACACAAGGGGATTAATCTCTTACCAATTTTATCCATCACTTCACAGAATCGTTTAGGTTAGAAAAGACCTTTAAGATCATCAAGTCCCACAGTTAACCCAACTTTTAAGTCTACTGCTAAACCATGTCCCTAAGCATCACATCTACCCAGCTTTGAGACACATCAGGGATGGTGATTCCCTGAGCAGCCTGTGCACGTGTTCCACATGCAGCAGCTCCTCGGAGAAATGACGTGTTTGCTGCTGCTGTTCTATGATGGCAGCAATGGAGCCTACACAAATCCAAATTATGAATTTCAGAAGTATCTCAGATTTTAGATGATGTGAGATGAGTAGCAAGTTCTGTTTATTTGTCAACTAATTGTTTAACTTTTCCCTTTATACAGGTGGCAATTTAGTTAGCCAGGTCTTGTGTGTGTGCCTGTAATGGTATTATCAGAGCAAAAGACTGTAAAGATCAAAATCTAGATGCTATCAGTGTATTGATAGTGTTGCATCCCC